AGGTTCCATGAGGAGTCAGCGTGCAAAACACCAATAGTCATTCAACCAGACAAAACTCCAACATTCTGGCAATTTTTCGGTCGCTAAGCTGCCGAATGTGACTCTAACAGCACCGGTATAATACCGCACTATGCAGTACAGTACAGTACCGTCCACTGCTGGCTGGCTCCAGGTACAATGCTGCATGAGCTGAGCCTGGTGGTGTTAACCAGTACCCGATTCCAACTTACCCAACTTCCCCTGCAGGAAAACCACACAGCGTAGACCCATAGAGGTTCTTGGGCCCGGAGACAGATTCCTGACGATTTGGGCTCTTATTGGCTTAGACCCAAGGTTTTCCTACACCCCTAGGTTCCGGAGTGAACGCATATCGAAACCTAAATAAGCTACCTATTCCAGAAGGGATACCCGGAGATCGAGGGCCTAGAGCTCCAACTTACTGTGGGACAACAAGGCCATTAGATTCCTAGTCCGTTCGGAGTGCCGGTAATTCCAACTGCCGATAGCCCTGGGGGTGGTCTCGGCCCGTTTAAGAAAGACGTCAACTGAGCTAGGCATGCGGGGAGCAAGAAGGCAAGGTACTTGGAAAAAGCTACTCCGCTGTCATAGTTAGACACCACTACGGAATCGATCCACCGTACGATATGGAGAAGGGGCCCGATCAAACTCCTCACCCAAACAAACTCCTCATCAAAACAATTCGCGCCAGCAGCCGAATCCATGGTGTTTATTTGTTCAATGCTGCTGGTGAGATGGCGATCAGCGCGCGAGGTGGGGGGACGAATGAGAGAATAACAGTATGTTAGCCCCCGGTTTCATTAGGGGTGTGCTGCTGCTCCAAGTTGTGTGTAAGACCTTGGAGGAGCATCACAAAGAGCAGGTGCAATTCCAATACATCGGCGAAGAAGGTGTACGATGATTGCCATTCAGGCGAGGTAGAGGAAAAGTTGTCTCTGCATCCTCATCAACATTCAGAACCAGATGTACAGTACAGTACGGTACTCGTACCGTACGTTGAGGCATAGAGCTTTGACGACATCAATAATCATTGCCATTCGGGGTCCAGTGGGTTGCTGATGTACCAAAAAAGAATCATTTGGATGCGCGGTTTCATTCGGAACTGAACTGGTTATGTTGGTGCGCTCTTTCTTTTTAGCTCTTACTCAACTTCCAGGGCTTCCCAGAGGAAGTTTACTGTATTCGTACTTGAGCAAAAAAAACAAAAAACAAAGAATCCCATGAAATCTGGACCGAGCGTAGATAGGGTGGCTAAATGGCTAAATGGGGTTCATAGAGGAGGGCTGGCCATTCCGTCCCGGATTAGCAAGACTGGCTGTATTCAACAAAAAAAGAGTGGATACTCTGTGATTATATAGCGGTGCTCAATTAGATATGACCAGATGCGAGAACATAAAGTTTTTCACCAGAGATAGGGGGGTATCACCCATAGCCGAAGTACTCATATAAAAGGCGAGAGAAAAATCTCGGATGATAGCGGATGAAGTGGGACAGAAATATCCATTCCTTAAGATAATCTCCAACCATCTCAACATTCTTGACTATCATGCTTGAAGTGTAGTGTAACTTAACACCGGAACAATTGCCAAAAAAACGATAGAGCAGTTTGAAAGCGCTCGACAACAACCAGTCAATAGTTATTGGTTGAAGGCGGACCATCAATAGTAGCAATGAAGACTTTTCGTGGTGAATCTCTTTGCTAAAGCCTAGAGAAACCGACGGACCACAAACCATCTGCCCAACCGTACAATAACTACAGTATGCACAAGGACAGTACTTGATCTTGCCAAGAGCTGCAGAAGGGCATCTGGGCCTAAAGTGTGCATTGGCCCCCAAACTTGGAACAAATCGAATCCCGACACCGCGGACCTGTCCCCTACCAGGCTCCCACCCCACTCTCGTCTCCAACTCCACGGCTGAATCTACCTGGCCTCCCGTACCTGTGCCAGATTCGTGCCGATTCTCGTGAAAGTGCGACCAAAGAGAGCCCGCCGTGCCCGGTAGGGTGTATGTTGTCGGGGACGGAATCTCGGCCTAGAGTCAGGATGTTGACGAAACGGAAAACAACGAGGGAAAGGAAAAGTAACAATTGCATCATAACTGCCGTGTGTAGCCAACATATCTCTGTCCTTTCAATCGTCTCCACCAGCACTGGAGAAGCAATCAACCCGTGGAAAGGGGGAGGAAAAAGGAAAACACAATAGAAGGAGAAAAATAAGAAGGGAGGGGGAAAGAACGGAGGAAGGGGGTATTAAACAGCTTTACACCTCGTGTGTGAGCTTGTGCATCCAATCCACTTTCCATCTAAGCCGGGCACGGGCTTCCTGTCTACTTCCTCCTCGATTGATTTAATCCTGCATTCAACATCATCAGAGTCGGCCAGTGTGATTGCTATGAAAAGAGCAACCCACCCGCCCTCTTTTTCGATTATTTTCCCGACCTCCACTCAGAACCACTGAGTGCCCCTCTCTCCTCCACCTTGGGTGCTTTCGACCCGCATTCATCTTGGGTACTCTGGATATCCCCGCTTTTCTGCGGCTTCTAATTGTCACTCGCTCCTCTCTCTCCTGGCTCAGTATTTTCAATCAGCCTTACGGGATCTCCTGCCTGCTTGGTACCGTAGCTACACATCCGGATTCCCCATTCATTAAGGCCAAGGAGCCATCTCCCATTGCATCCGTGGGGGGCAAACACAAGAAAAAACAAGCTCACACCATCTCTGCTTCTTGAAATATCGGTGGAAAGAAAAAAATATACATCTTCTCTGCCTCTTCACTATAAACCATTCATTAAAAGTTGATTGGGCATTTTCCATCAAACGAACAAAAAACATACTCCATCTGTTTCGGCGGTCTCCACCGCGAACCACTATTTTCACTCTGGCCAACTAGGACTCACGTGGACCCGTTCTGTTACGCGAAATCCTGGGCATTTTATTTCTCATTCGATTCGTGATAGGTGGGGGTTTGATTCGAAGCGGAGCAGCAGCGCCCACGGCGGCAATAGGAAGCCGAAACAGCAAATATACAAAAGAGAAGGTAGCGATTACCACAAACAGAGACGAGTCTACGAGTATTCGTCTTGTGCCAAAAATCGCCGGGGATCGTATTGCCAGTGAGTTGTGGCGGAAAAAGACAACAGGACACGAGAAGTATTTACTTTTTTTAATTATTTCTGCGCCCTTCGCACCCCTTCTTTCAGTGTCGATTTCGACTCAAGGCAAATTCTTCATGTAGCAGCGACTTAGTGCCATAAATTGGTGAGTGCAAAAGTCCAGGCACCGCCTATCCCCCACCCCCTCTCAGCCCCCGCAGGGTACTCTCCTTTGATAACCTGTCATCTGCTATCATACCCCGACATGAGTGGCGGTTTCGCTTTGGTCGAGGAGAAGAGAAATTGTGGATTCTGCCTTTGGTTCACATTTCCCCATGCGGAGTCTGAGGTCTGCTGACCAGGCATCCCGGACCAGCTCAGAAGTACAGTACGAGTACCGGTACCCGAGTACATACGAGGCAACTCCCAGGTGCTCTAGAGCAACTGCCCCAAAAGTAGTTAGGGTTGTAGGCACACAAGATTCTCCACTCACCCGCCGTTTCAGCCGTTTATATCGTTCGGGAATCTCACGTTACATAAGGGGAATCTGTCTCCTCTTTGTATTTCCCTGCTCTCTTTTTTCCCACAAAGTCACCTGGTAGGGGGTGCTTCTTTGCGTCGATTATTGTGGAGGTAAGGACTGTCCGACTCTCCTTGTTCGCGATTTACCGAAGTGCAACTTTCCACAAATTGACATCTCATGGCAGGACTTCACTATCCTCGCCTTTTCGAGAGCGATTGGATTCGAAAAAAGTGAGCTTCCTAGACTTCGGCTCGTCCGCAAATAACGAGAGGCGTTCAGTAAGCCAAGGCAAATCGTCCGAATCCGGGTTTTGGGGCCAAAGTGGAAGGAGGTTGAGTCCCTCCTCACTTAGAGTTCTAGCTTGCCCTGGAAGGGTGCTGGTCAATATTTGAGAAAAAACTGGGGTAGGATACCGTACGGTGCATTACAGTACTTGTACTCGAGTACTGGCACGATAGGGTAAACGGGAGGTGGAGGCCTTACTAAGAGCAATTACAGAACTAAATTCTCAACCCCAGCAAGAAGAGGCTACAAGATTAAAAAAAGGGAACCAAGTCCCGACCGAGACCAGGGGTTAAGTTTGTGTGCGTGTCCAGCGACCTTGCCGGGCCGACCTGTCTCTATCAATATTCCTCATCTCATCCCATCTCCTCTTCTTCGTCCTGGTTTCTGGGAAATTGAGTCCCCAACGCGCACTCGGAAGCCTTTGCAGTACGGAGGTATCAGAATTAGATAGAGGTTACGGCACTTGGGCTAAAGGCGGGAGAATAAGACACGTCGGATCGTTACCGGAATCGAACACGTGGAGAAGAGAAAGACTTAAGTCACTGGGTAAAGGAGGTCAGGTTGACATTTGCGACATCCGAACCTCTCCCGGTCAACTGTAGCCATTTGACACGTCGGGATTGTGGTGCATGTGCTCGAGGAGTAGAGTACCGTAGTGTAAGTCGTCATCCTAGACCTATCTCTGGATTCCTCCTAACTTTATTTCTTCCTCCTTTCCTCCCTCCTCCCCGCTCTAGGTTGTTTGTTGGTTCCCTTTTTTTTTTTTTTTTTTTCATAGTTATATATACACGTCCACCATGCTCTATATACTCTGTAGTTGCGCCAACATTGCTCTCGAACCTTATTGTTCCCCCATCACGTTACATAATAGCTTCCTTAGCATATTACTTCTCCGTTGCTCCGAATACTGATCCACTGTTACCTCAGTAATTTCATAGCGCACAGACAAACTTTTTCACGGGCCGCCGTCTTCAGACCCTCCATCCGACCCTGAACCAGATATCGAGTACGGTAGTCTCCCGCGGAGTTCGTCTAACTCTGACTGGTGGAAATTGATTGACTCTGTGCCATTTTTTCTTAGCTTGATTCGCGGGTTTAACCAAGCTTACCACGGTACCGGTAATAACAGTGGTAAGTTTACTGCGCGTGGGTTTCTAATGGACCTGCAGCCCCTTTCCTGTGCCCTTTTCTTTTTCTTCACCAGTTACATCCATCTCACCAACACTTGATTGTTGATATCAACTTCAACATTCCCATCTCATGACTCTTTTGTTATTATCCCATCTATACCCTCCGTCCACCCTTATTGGACAGAGTATCATGCTAAAACACAATTGCACGCGACAGCAGAAAATCAGTATAAAGCACGTGCAACTGCCCGGGGGGTTCTACTCGAGTATTATCCTCTGGTGGTTGAATCTTGATCCTCTCGGTAGACCCTGTTAACGCGACTTTTTAAATCCCCACCACCCGAAAGGGGTGCAACGAAAACGAGGGAGATTTCCTATTATTTGTCTGTGCGATACAAGGGACTCCCGGACCTGGTGCTTTCTGAATCCTTTGCTGCACTGTTAGCATTTCCCGCCACCAATAGCCAGCCTTGACTTGCTAGCCTACCATTTGGATTGCTGGGCGCAGGCAGCTAAATACGTTTCTAGAACCCTACTTCTTTAGGCTTAAGTACAGGATTGTTCCGCAACCCAGACCGGGGCCCGATTGCCCTACTTACTCCCTATCTCGTCCCATTTTTTTTTCTCCCCTTCAGATTCTGCACTGCACCTTGGACAACCATAACAACCGCAATAACCACGAAAAAAGGACCTGCACGTTGTTTTGAACTCGACTGCTCTTCAGCAGCTGCAGGTCTCCATGAAGCCAATTGGGGGAATTGTGACAAATAAAAAGTCCATTCCCGATAACTTTCGGCAGGTCGAAACCTTTACAACAGAATATCTGAGCAAGTTATGGAAGAGTGCGTCACATTCATTTCTCTTTTTTCTTTTATTCCGACCCCTCACTTTCAATTCTTGACTTAATTCAATATTACTTACAACCAATATATCAGCTACCGAGATATATAGTTTGGGAAAGAAAAGAAAAAAGCACCCTGCTGACCGCTTCGCAATATAGTTTATACAGTAAATCGCGATGTGCTTGACAAGGGTCGCCGTCTTGAGAACCTATTTTGGAGGATATGGGGTAGCGAACGCATACAAAGGACCTTCTCCGGGAAGACCGTATCAAAAATATTCCTCATGATAATTGAGGGTGAGAGGCCATTTGAGAAAACGGGATTCCGGATACCACCGTTGCCAATACCAACCCCGCCCCAACCACCTGACCCGGAATCCACACCAAGGCCGTCTTTAGAAATCGAATGCCCTCCAACACCTCCCCCGAGCCCTATACCTCCAGTAACTTCAGTGGTGGGCTTCCAGTTTGGGTCATCTTATCTCTCAAAAATTCCTTTGGAAATGGCAATCACTACTTCACTTCATCAGGCTTTCCCACCCCGACCACTATCACCCCCGCCACCGCCGCAAACTAGCTCCTCAACGGCCGAGAGATTAGCGGATTCAGCACTGCTACGAAATAATTTCCCTGGCCCGTCAAGGTTTGCAACCCCTTCAAGTGCCGGGACGATAGCTGGCGCTAGTGCGGTCGGCAGCAAACCCAGCAGTTTAGTATCCAGTGAGAATGAGTCCGTATCTTCCAATGAGGGCGGTCGTGGTAAGAACCCCACAGTCAAAGGGAGAAAGGCTAGGATAGAGCGCCCGGTGAGAGGTCGCCGAAAAGTCGGAGTTTCCACTCGGGTGACGGTGACTCGGAAGTCGCGCCCTGCCGGTCCCCGACGGAAATCATCATCGTCGTCGAATACCGCTGTCAATACTGCTTTTTCTAGCCCCTCACAGACCCTAGCTGGGGATATAGCAAGATCCTTGCCAAACGATAGTGTGCGTCAACAACACAAAGCTCTATCGACCGATGGTGGCGAGTCCGAAAGCGACGCCACTGGGAAGAAGGGGGATACGGCCGACAGCGATTGGATTGTGGATCCCGATTTTCGAACAAAGTATTTGGAGCGAAAACGGAAGGAAAAGTTGGTGGCATTGACATCTGTAGCCTCTGTAGTGCCGTTGGTGACAAAGGCTGTTCCAACCATCGCCGTGGCGGAAAGCCAGGCGACAGCTTCAACAAAGGTATCTCGTGGGAAAGGAAAGGGCGTTGTTTTAGTGGATCAGGTTGTCCCATTGAAGGGATTGCCGGAGGAAGCTGAAGATCTGCAAGCGACCAGAGTCCTAGTCGCGAATGCCAGGGATGAGGATATCGACGAACTACCCACGACTTTAGTGAGGAGGAAATCGGAGCTCACCCTCATGTTCGAAGCGGAAGCGAAGAAGTCTGGAGAGAAAACGGGGAAAGGAAGTCTCGGGAAGGAGAGGGCTATAATTGAGGGGGAAATGACGCAGTAATCGACGAATCGGTTACTGCGTTCAGCCAGAGGGAGGTTGAGTGGTTGGAGGCACATACGATGGGAGAGTAAGAATAAGGGCCATGGGGAAGGCGTCAGGCTGGCGAGACGGTTTAGAAGAGGCGGGAGGATGAAGGGGAGTAAGAAGTATCATACAGGGGCCGTCTTTTCTTGCATCCGCATTTGTCAAGGAGGGAGCTTGGTGGTGGACTTCTCCCTTGACCGTGGATCCGGCGCCACGATCGCTTTCTTCTTGTCTCTAGATATTGGAGAGCCTTGGGTGGGAGGGGGGAGGGGGGGTACGGAACAGTTTTGTGAGCTGTTATACCTCTGACAGTGCCGGTGGAAGGTTGGGTTATAATCTCATCGATAGCGATCGCATCTGTGTTTTGTTTTTTGTCCTTTTTTTTCTCGTCTTTGATGCATTGTTCAGGGGAAAAGATTCTTGCTTTCCTTTGTCCTGGGTATTTGTTTGCTTGTCGAGTGCTATTATGCATATGTTGGGGACCGGAAGGGTTTTCAATATTTTTTCCCTTCCCCCCTCCATCAGTCTTCGCAGTTTTGAGCAGAGTGAATGCTCTTGCGCTGTGTATTTGGGTTTTTTGTGTGTGCATATGCGTGGAGAGAAGGTTATTGCTCGTGTTTTCATATTTTATCGTGGGTTGCTCATTTGGATTAATTATTGGGATCACTGAATTCTTCGTAAACACCAGTCACATTCTTCCCACATGGAATCCCCCCCCTCCGCTCACCTAGCCGATCATCTGCCATGCATCACTCATCTCATCCGCACATCTGTTTTTCCTATCTTACCTGCTCCTACCGCACCGCATTCGCACCATTTGCTCTCAAAAGGGTAGACAAGCCAGACCAAACGCAGTGTAAAGCAGGGAAGCTAATATCGGAAAGTGCCTTGCATATATATCTCACCTTTGCTCCTTCCTCTTCCCCTTCTTGCGGGCTATGGCTGCAGAAAGTGGAATCAAAAGTCAAGTGCTTGCTTGCTCATGCTGTCGGGTGTTTCATTCAATTTGTATCGAGCTAGCGAAACGGCCAAACAACGATCTACTCGAATTCTCACCATACGGATCGATCACGCCCAGGCTTGCCCCCTCCTTCCCTCCTCTTATGCCCGGAGGTCCGGGCCGGAGTGTGTTCGTTGCTGCTGTAGCGCAGCCGCTCGTTCGTCCATTCGTTCGTCCACTCACTCACATCTATTATGATCGATTGTGCGAGAAGAAGAGGCAAAACCTCAGTCGGGTATTGCCGATTCATGCCCCCCAGCCCCCGGGTTAGCTCATTCTTAATATTATATCCTCCCGCTACCAACTTTCCCACTTGCCGGATATATGGCATACCTTGGACGAATACAGACGGGCAGACAGACGATACAGTACGGTATGGTGACAACGTGCAATCAAAATCGAACCCATATGTCTGTGTCCAGACTGGGTAGCATGATCGGTCGTGATCGGGTGGGCAACTGCCGTATCGAATGTGCGATTGCACTTTTTTAATTTGTATGATACTCCCACTCACCCATTGCTTTTCTCCTTCCATGCTGTTCGCACTTCCCTCTCGGCACAAGACTGGTTCAGCTGGACTGGACTGGATTGTACTGAGCACGCCTGTTTGTACGAGAGGGACGCAGCATGATAGATAGACAGATATGGTAGATAGGCAGGTATACGGCACTCTTACTACTTTGTCACCTTATCTCACTCCCTCAACTTCACCTCCAGCACCAACACGCAATCCCCCCTATCGATCCAACCAAGATATACCTCGTGCTCCAGCAAGAACACGATAGCAATCCCGCCCAACCAAGCACCGTACAGTATCATGCGGTACGCTCCACGAACGAGTCTTTTATTCCATTAAATAGATAAAATTAAGAATTGGAAATTAAAAAACGAAAAAACAAACCCAAAGCCAAAATACCAACGATCACGATCACCACGATATGTGATCCAAATGAGCGAATATCGTGATTCACCGTATCATATTCATACGCAACGGAACGCAACCTAAGATTTCACTCCACTCCACCCCACCCCACTGACCCCACCCCACTGACCCCACCCCACCCCACCCCCGATCTCACCTCCGTGATCTAGACCATCAACGACAACAACTTCCGGTTCCACCGATACCGGTACAACCACACCGGAGCAGTAATTTCGATAATCACAGGCACTCTTGCTGTAGTAACTCGAACATAATATCACACAGCTTCTGCGGTGGATTGATCGGTTCGGTTTCGCGCCCACCACCACCAACCCACCACACTACAACTTTATTGCACCGTAGTACCGGTATAAAACTACCGTATGGTACTGTAACTGTAACTGTAACTGTACGGTGCCCCGCCCCGCTCCCTTTCCTTCGCTCCGCCCCGCCCCGCTGCAGCGGGATATAAATTTTTTTTTATTTCCCTTATTTTCTTCAGAGACTGGGTGGGTGGGTAGGTGGGTGGGTTAATTGGCAATTAATCGACTGATTGATTGATTGATTGATTGATTGATTGATTGATTGATTGATTGATTGATTGATTGTTCAAAGTGGGATGGTAGGAAAGGTGAGACCATGAAATGAAATGTTTGTTTTGTTTTTTTCCCTTTCTTTCTTTCTTTCTTTCTTTCTTTCCCTCTTTCCCCCTTCCCCTTTTTCCTTTTTCCACTATCGGTATTCGAGTATCGGTAGTCTGATTAGCGAATAATGAGGTTCGAGGAAAGGGGAAAAAAAAAAAAAAAAAATGGACCATACGATTTGCGAAATTGTAGTTTCTTCTTTTCTTTTCTTTTATTTCCTGGGGGGCACGGGCTGTTTACCGGTTACGGTACGATTCACTCGTTTTGTTTTGTTGGTTTTTCTTTCCTATCATACGGTACTGCCGTGGATTTTCTTTTTTACCTTCCGCCTGATTCTGGTACGACACCGTACGAGTACTTGTACGAGTACTATTGTGGTCGGTGTGAAGAGTGAGTGAGTGAGTGAGGGGGGGGGGAGGTGAATCCACCTTCTTCTGGAGAACAGCCAACTACTTTTAATCTGCCATCGTCGATACCATAAGTTACGCGGTATACCTGTATTGCCGTCTCCGTTCGTGTCTGTGGTGTGGATGTCACTTTCTTGCTTATATAATAATGTACGTTGGGTATGATGTTTGATATATGGTTTCTCCTCCTCTCGTGTTCTGCCTGCACGAGTTATAGTACCTACGATTCTGTGATATGGTATGGTATGATGCCGAATGCCCGCTCGGCTCCCGCTCTTCACTCTTCTTTGAGGGATTGGGGGATAAGTCGGTTTAGTTATCATAGTCGGTTGGTCACTTAGGATGCGGGTTTATACCAGCGTATGACGGGAGAAAAATAAATAGATAGAAAAACGAAGGGCTCAATTGAGGGATACGGTATCACAATTAGTTAAACAGTGATTACTAGCAGTTCACATACTGAAACGGTCAGTCGTGGTCTTATGTGTACAGTACATTGAACTTCTTGTATGATACCCATCTATCACTCGCTATTTACCATCTATTGGATTTGACTTTATATATATGTACACCAAATCTATCTTGGGCTTTTCGAACGGTTCGCTTTTATTCCATGGTTTTTACGTATTGCATCATTATATGTATACATGGCAGCGATGTTCAAGCTACCACAGTCAGAAGTACAAGTACAGTCACTATCATACATCGAGCAATATAGCTCCACATCTCTTTCCACCCCTCCTCCCTTCCTTCCTTCCTTCCTTCATTCATAAACGGCGGGAGTTAGTTCGGTAACCCGCATAAGCAAGTCCACTTACCAGGATACTTGTACCAAGCACGCGAGGTGCTATAGCATATGTAATTTAAGTAGGTACGGTACGATACCAGCAGTAGGGGTAGGGAGAGAGAGGGAGAGAAAAGACCGACTCCATCCACTCGCCCCCGTTCCCCCCCTACCTACAAAGCGCCCCTGCGAGTATCCTAGCACAGGTATAAATAGTGGTAATAACACCCTACGGCATCGGAAGTGCACCACATCCGTCTGTGATATATACCCCCCCCTTGTCCTTATATCAATTGTGTGCACTAAATGTATCCCTTCTTCTTCTCCTTCTTCTTCTCATGAGATGATGGAACGATGTGCAAGGGTGCGATGCCAGACTAGACCACACCACCCGTGAAGTAAAACAAATAAATATAAAAAAATGATCTCCAAAAAATTCCTCAAGGGTGGTTCTGTTAGTAGTAGTAGTAGTAGTAGAAGGAAAGGATGAGGGAGCGGATTATCATTGTAGTGCATCATACATGCTACTACTACCATTCAGACACAGGTCAAATAATTAATGGTTGAACGGTGCGAACAAAGAAAGGGTGAATGAAGGGTGGGGCGATTGAAATGTTCAAAGGGTTTCTTGTATTTCCCTCGGTGCACTATATATAGGGAGAAGGAAAACACTTTTTGTGGAATTGTACGAAGCCGGCGTGGGGAGGAGAGGAGAGGAGGAGAGAGGAGAGATGTGGGAGAGATATTTCTCGGGATTCGGGTGGTTCCCGGGGTTGTACTTTGGTGCGTGTGATTAGTGGTGATGGAGGGGGGAGTGGGGTATGACGGGGTATTGTGGAGTGATATATGGGCCGATGAGGAATTATGAGCACAACTATAAGCGTTTATGGAGGCTTCGTTTGGAGAGTGATGGGTAGGTAAGATACTATCTCGCTGTTACGGTGAGCTTCCAGCTGTACGATAGGAGTCTTTCCTTACCTTCCTTTGTGCCTGGTCAGCCAGCCGTCCATGATTTGCAAAAGTACCTCATTCGCTCACTCGTTCACTACAACTCACTCACTCACTCACTCACTCACTCGGCCCCTTCTTCCCCACACAAACTGTCACCACCAAGCATCAGGAATCGAACGAGCCAATACCCAATTCAATCCAATCCAATCCAAAATATCACACGCTATCGCACCTCATAAGACCAGCAACCCATCCGCATTTAATCCAAAAAGAAAAGAAAAAAGAAAAAAGAAAAACCCCACTCGCATACCAGCCATTGTGCCAATTCACTTCACCAATCCCACCCCGCCATCATACCCTACCATACCCTACCCTACTCAACCCAACCTCTCTCTGTCTCCCTCTCTCCCTCTCCACTCTCGGCAAACAAACAACGACCCACCATGAATCCCCCCGAAAATTCGAATCCAAACCACAACAACCAGAAATGCGACACCTTCCCATTCGTACCCCGCCTCAACGACAACAACAACGAGCCACCACACCCCCGTGCGGGGTTTCCCCAATCTTGACATCCGCTACGTGCTCATGCAACGCTGGTATCATAATCAACAAGAACGGGGGTGAGCGGGAGGGTGACAAGTGACGCCCTCTTCCGAAGCGTACGAGGAGGGATCAGAGAGGGAGCTGCGTCGCTGACAAGCGGCGCAGTGATCGCCAGGGAATTGGACGAGGTTTGGGCAACCGTATTTTGTGTAGTTTCTGGTATAGCTGTTGTCAGTGTTTGATGCGTTGTGCTCCGGTGTAGCGGGCGGGTGTGTGTGTGAGAGGATTGCGATTGGTGGGAGGAAGGAAGGAGCGGGTGATCATGATATCTTCCTTCCGTGGGGGGAATTGTGGAATGATAGATGGACATGGCGGACAAAAACCACGCGTATTGTGTAAAAATTCCATACTCACGCGCAGGTATATGCCATTGTGTCGGATTCGCGGATTCTCACGAGACCCAACGTTTCACAACCCCAACTCAAACATTCACCAGGCTCCGTTGACTTTGCAAGGGGAAGAAAAAAAACCGAGTGAGAAACCGATATCGAAACCAAACAAATCCCAAAAGTAGCAGTGATATCAAATATATATATAATAAAGGAAAGGGCCCTTTCTTCTTCGAAACCCCTCTTCAATTCGGATCTCCTCAATTACGCCTTTACGAATGCAAACCGTTCCCAGAGCGCCTTATATATACCCACAACATCTCGACCCCAGTCCCTCCCCCCCCGGCCCCGAGACGCTCGATACCGGTGAGTTGAAGGAAGGGGGAAAAAAAACTCCCACGCCGTGCACATAACTCCATCCTGCAGTGCTAAGCACATCGATGGTCGAATAGGGGAGATTGCCCCCCATCCGGTGAACTCGTGCGCGCGCCGGGCCCAAGTGGAAGAGCCGGTGCAGTACGGGCACTTCTGCTTGTGGATGAGCAATAGTGCACAGCACAGAGCGGTGGATTGTCGGATACACGGACTGTGGGTTCGGAGGTAGTGGTGCCGGTAGTGGTACCGTCGTCAGCTGATGGCGCCTGCCGGCTTTGTGTGATGGATGGATTTGGGAAGGCTCGTATGTTATTCTGGGGAGAGTGGAGCACGGAAGAGTGTGTGTGGGTTA